TTGACCTGCTAACTAGACCTCTCTGCCTGTTCCTCAATCCATGTCACCATGTCCCAAACCATTATCAAGCTTATCCTTTTTCCTTTAGTCCCTATTTTTTCTAGTAGTTGCAACCTCTTTCTAATTGTTCAATCTAATTTATTCTAGAGTTCAACTCATTTTCCCCTCTCCCTCATTTACTTCCCTCCCTTGGTCTTCTCTCTTTCCATTTGGTCACCCATCCCTATTGATTCTGTTGTTTAAATGAATCCTAAACGCTGCCTCTCTTCTCTGTCTTCACAGCCACTGTGCAGGCCCACGACACCTCTCACTTAGACCATTGTGATGACCTTCTAGGTGGTGGCTGTGCCTGTTCAAGGCCATTGACCACTAACACTTCGCTAAAATGCTGATCTTGTGCCTCTCCTGTGTCAGGTCTTATGTTCAGGACAAAGCAGAAGTCCTCAGCACAGCACCTGGGAATCTTCACCAGGGCCCTGCTCTCTGGCTTCCTGTGCTAATGCTCATCCATGTGTCAGCTACACGTGCCGCAAACTCCCAGTGTTCTTTCGTGCCTCTTTCTCTTGCACATTCCAGCAACTCTTGGAATGTTCCCCCACCTGTCCTTTTCTTTATTCTCCTGCTGGCAACACCAAGCTCATTTTTGAAGGCCAAATTCCAATGTCAGGGGCAATTCCCCAAATCCTCTTTTCCCTGTTCAGATTTCACATCACTTCCTCTGGGTTCTCACTTACATCTTCTGTGCACTAGTTTATGCTTTTTTATTGATCACTAATCACTCCATCTGCACTGTGGGCTCAGGGCAGGGACCTTGTCTGAGTCATCTTTATATCGCCGGTATCTGGCACATAGTAGGATGCAATCAATATTTGCAGGACAAAATGAGCCACCACCATTTAGGCCTTGTTTCTATTATACTGGGGATTAATGGCTTCCCCATAAATAATTCTCTGATTCTACTGAATGCCGTAACTTTACGTAAAATAAATGTCCATATTTTAGCAAATTGCTCCATATTTTTACAAGTTAGGTCTATAAACTTGCAGACTCCACAAAGAACATAGTTTATGTTGACAGCGTATATCATACTTTATTTAAATAATTCCTTTATGAATATGGATGGACTTTTGGTTGTTTCCAATTTCTGTTATAAATAATGCTGCCATAATTTGTTGTTCATCTATAATTGTTGTTCATCTATATTATTGTGCACTAATTTGAGTATAGTATGGGAATAAATGTCTTGTGGAATTGTTAGGTCAAAGAATTTATACATTTAAAATTGATAAATACTACAATTTGGTCCTCCAAAATAGTCTATAAAACTTACAAATTCTAGTAACAGTGAGAATGAATACCTATTTATCCATCCCATCACCAGCAATGGATATTATCTCTTAATTTTCAGATGAACATTAATTAAATTTGCATCTCCCTGCTTGCTAGTGAAGCTGTACATCTTATTAGATGTGTATTGGCCTTTTCCATTTCATGCCTTATCTATGAATTGCTTCTTGAAGGCTTTGTTTTTTCTGTTGTGATATTTATCTTAGGGATTTTCAAGAATTCTTCCTGTATCATGGAGACTATCTCCTTTCCTGCCTATTACATACGTTGCAAACATTTGCTATGTAGAAGTTGGAAAGAATGAGGTGGATTTATATAAACAGACATGGAAAGAGCTCCAACATAGACTTGCAAAGGA